TGAAGACAGCCACGGACGTGCTCTTCGACCCCCTCGCTGTCAACGTCTACCACCGCAAGAACGAGCTGCCCCAGGCTCCTAGGAGCGACGAGCAGTCGACGGTCCGCTTCGATCCGAGCTGGGGCGTGTCCAACAGGGCAGCGGTGCATGGGTTCGTGAAGATGAAGAACTTCTGGTTCATGGTCTTGCAGGGTGCCCATCTTCCCACAGATTCCTCTTGGCCACGGGGTGCAGGGATGTATCCTACCAACCTGAAGCCAGAGGCACACCACCACCGCAGCAAGTGGGTCAGCTTCCACTCCCTGGTAGTGCCAGAGGAGACAGCTGGAAGCGGTGTGCCACTCATTGGCTCAGCATTGCTGGGCTTCCCATCCTTCCGCTTCATCCTTGACGGCAAGGAGATCTCCGTCTCCGCGGACTGATTGCTCCTAGACTCCCAGAGTTTTGTGCCCCCTTAAGTAGATCGAATATGGGGTATATGGGAATCTTAATATAATGTACCCAAAGCCATACATTCTATCTACTTCAGGGGGACTATAGCCTGATAGCCGAAAAGGCTGCGGGGCAGTGCTCACCCCTTGTACAGCTGTACAGCCGCCAGCGGGTGACCTATGATGTCCTTCCACCCGCGAGCCCCTGTGTTGCCTTGTAGCTGTCAGGCACCTTGTCTCTGAGTTCCATCCGAAGACTCACCCTAAACCCTAAAACCCTAAACCCTAAATCCTCAACTCTAAACCCCCTCAAACCCTAAACCCCTAAACCCTAAACCCCTTGTAGGATTGAGGACAGCCTTACGTTACAGGTGGCAGGGACAAAACTGTGCCGTGACCTCATCTCAAGCCCGCATGCACGTTCTTCTGCTTGTTCGCCCCTCCTGCCAGGACGGCTGCCGACCATGGTGATCACAGTGGTTGAGATGTGCAGCGTATATCTGCTCAGCCTCACATGGTACTGTAGTTTCCCTAAATAGGGGGGTTCCAACATAGACCCTGAGATACTAGAATCCTCAGTATGGAGACCACCCCTGTTTTCGGGAAGCCCTGAAGGTGAGCTCCGCAGTCTGAACTTCGATGAATTCTGGCGCTTGTCCATGGACGTCAGAGGAAAAAGTGAGCCTATCATGGTGGTACAGGGATTAGGGTGTAGGGTTTAGGGTTGCTTGCCATTCCTACCCCACCAGAGCGATCAATCCATGAGCTCTCTCCAATTTGTCACTAAACTGCTGTGCAGCCTATTGGCCTAGTGTTGAATACATCAAGATGTGAGGTTTGGATCTGGCCGTGCCGACCTGATGCTCATCTGGGTTGCTGTTAAGGAACTTAGTTGTAATACGGAAAGCTTTTTATTTCCTATGCACCCATATTACGGTAGCTGAATTCGAGTTCCTTAAAAGCAACCCAGTTATTGTAGCAACCTGCACTGCCTCTGCCCTGCCAGTTAGGAGGCACATGGCTCATAGCAGAAAGACCACCAGCGGGGCAGAAGTCTAGGAGAAGGGAACCTCACAGCTTGGGGTTTAAGGTTTAGGGTTTAGGGTTTAGGATTTAGCGTTTAGGGTTAAGATTCAGCCAGATTTGCGAGTCGCAGTCCCAGATCATGAGCCTTCCTTATCTTTAAAACAATGACGTCCAAGGAGAACTCTAGGCATCTTACTGGTGCTTAATGGGGATCCCTATACGAAGAATCCCTACATAATCCCCATATATACCCCTTTAATGGTACCTATATTCACTCCCCCACTCCCCCTTAAGCACCAGTAGGTTGTGGGAAGCATAGGGGTGGGCACGGCAGTGGATTCCGAGCCAATGGCGATTCCGTCTGAGCCCCGGCGTGAAGTCTTGTGCTCTCCTCATTAGGGTTTAGGGTTTAGGGTTCAGGGGTTAGGGTAGGCTAAACTCCAGTAAAGGGGGTTCGTAGAAGGTTTAGGGTTTAGGGTTACGGGATTATATATAGGGGAGTACTATAGGGCTATTTAAGGGAGATACTAGGAGTTTAGACTATAGGCCTCATGAGTTTCTCTATAATACATACCGCTCTAAGTTACCCCTTAATAGCGGTTCTTTGAGGATAGTTAGGGCTAACTCAGGATAATTACATGTGAACTTGGCGGCGGGGGGAGAGGGGGGGGAATAGGTGAATCTATAACATCGTGAATGATGAGACCCACCAAGCAAGCCATAACGTCAACATGGAGATGCCCACTCTGAATTCCAATGTCCAAAATGTTCGCGACATTTCTCTCCAATAGGTCCATGTGTTCTAGATCTGAAGACTCAAATATATCCTTATTACGGGGACTCCCCAAATGGTATCCCTACTAAGTTTGGAAAACCCTAGATCCCTATAAGCCCCTATGATATCCCGATAGAAGCCCCATATATGTATACATCTATCTATCTATCTATCCCCTATGTATCCCAAAAAGGTGCTTTTCGAAGCCCCCCCAAATTCAAATGTCCCGCGGAAGAGTCAGGTCGCGGCCCGGGAAGGCGCGTGAGTTGCAGCCAGGGGGGGAGGGGGTTTCGAGCTCTGGGAACTGTTCAGAATAGGGTTAGGGTTTACAGGGACTTAGGGTTTAGGGGTTTAAGGTCTAGGGTTTATAGGGACTTAGGGTTTAGGGGTTTACGGTTTTGCTGATGCAATAGTAACAGTTTACCGTATCTGTGACTGATACATAGTAAACGCCGTAGCAACATCACCAGTGGATGATCCATCAAGATAACCTTCTGATTTTCTTGTCTATAACCGATCCTTATTATATGTGCCGACAGTCCCCGATCTCTGAAACCAAGACCCTAATCCCTAAACCCTAGAACCTAGACCCTAATCCCTACACCCTCGACCCTAAACCAAGAGTGCTTGGAAAGGTGAAGCTCAGTGATGGCTTGGTGGGGGCCCCATCGCTTCTATGACCTCCTGCACCCTCACCATATTCTAAATCAGGAACCCTAAGCTGTTTAGGGTAGGGGTGTAGGTTTTGGGTTTAGGTTTTTGGGTTTAGGGTTTTAGGGTTTAAGGTTAAGGGGTAATCAGACACCCTAAAATGGGGTAGGGTAAAGGGGTCTAGGAGGTAGAGAGACTTCAGGGATTGACTCCTTGGGTGGTCAGTGTAAGACGTTCGGGGATGATCAGGGATGATTGTAAAGATCCCTTCCTTCATTCCGCGCGAACAAGAGTTTTTAGAGTTCTCAGAATTTACGGTTGAGTCAGAGGCCAATTCTGACCTCTAAATCCTGTAGCCCCGAGTCCTAAACCTCAAAACCCTGAACCCTAAATCCTAAACCCTAAATCCCTAAAACCTATATATCCTAAACCCTAGATCCTAAACCCTAAATTTGAGAGATGAGGTGCAAAACCTTGCGGTGGGCAAGGTCTACCGGGACCACAAGGGCCCCGTGAGCGGGTGGGGCAGCCCAGGGATTGCCTTCTACTGTCTGAGGGTTTAGGGTTTTAGGGTTTTAGGGTTTAGGGTTTAGGGTCTTAGGGGTTTAGGGTTTTGGGGTTTAGGGTTTAGGGTCTTAGGGTTTAGGGTCTTTGGGGTTTAGGGTCTTTGGGGTTTAGGGTCTTAGGGGTTTAGGGTTTTAGGGTTTAGGGTTTAGGGTTTTAGCGTTTTAGGGTGTTGGGGTCCCTTAGGGTCTTAGGGGTTTAGGGTTGTTAGTTCATTGGAGCAGTGCTACCGGCTTACATGGGCTCGGGATCAGCTGGCGAAAAGACCTGCAAGTCATGCCGTCTAGCCATTCCAGGAAGTGACAGGGTTGTCAGGGACAAGGACAATTATTACCCCAAACCCCTAAACTCCTAAACCCCCCAAAACCACCAAAAAACTCAAACCCCTAAGCCCCTAAACTTAAATCCTAAACCCTAAACCCTAAACCCCTAAGCCCCTAAGCCCCTAAACCACATGGCATGTGATGCCAGCGTCTTCAGTCTCCGCGGGCCTTGACTTCGATGTACAGGCTTCGAATCCTAAATCCTGCTCGGCCCTAGGGTTTTGGTTTTGGGGTTTACAGGCTTTAGGGTTTTAGGATAAAGTCTCTAAGCCCTCTGAATCCTGAACTATCGACACTCAAAGGGGGGTGGGGTTGCATGGACCAAGCTAATTTCAGTTTACAGTCCGCGCGACCCGCATAGAGCTGTCAGAGATGCCCTGAAAACTACTAGTGGTGGCTACAACTTGGGTCCTGCTCCCCCACTCTTTAACAGTTGGACAATACAACTAATATAGTTATTTAACAGGGTGGTGGCAGTACCCAGGCTACATCCACTTATTTCATCGGGCTTGCATCAGCGTGATGGTCCGAAAGCTATGACTTATGCCAGGAGTTTCGTGACCAAGCCCCTACAAGCATATGGTAGTCACCAGGCCCTTCTCTGGGGGGTTAGGGTATTCAATCTTTCAGCCCTAAACCCGATCAGTCCTAGACCCTAAACCCTATAATTCTTAGACCCTAAACCCTTAATCCTATACATCCTGGACCCTAAACCCTAAATAGTAGTTTCCGTTCTCTTTTTCATCATTCCTATCTACAACCCCTGCATACCAGACCCTAAACCCTAGGATTCCCAAACCCTACAGAGACTCCCAGACGCTATAAATCCTAGACCCTAAACCTTAAACCCTGAAAATCCTAAACCCTAACCCCTATTATTCCTAAACCCCAAGCCCTAAATCCTAACCCCTAAATCCTAAGCCCTAAACCCCTAAACCCCAAACCCTCAATCCCCAACCCTACAGAAACCCCCAAAGCCTGTAAATCCTGAACCCTGAACCCTATAATTCCTAAACCCCAAACCCTAAACTCTAAATAGTCGTTTCCATGTTCTTTTCCATTGTCCTTATTTACAAGCCCTATATACCCCTAAACCCTAGGATTCCCAAACGCGACAGAGACCCTTGAGGATGGAGTTCACCCAAACCCTAGACCCTAGGATTCCTAAACCCTACAGACCCAAACCCTGTAATTCCTAAACCCTAAACCCTATAATTCCTAAACCCTAAACCCTAAACCCTGTAATTCCTAAACCCTAAACCCTAAACCCTGTAATTCCTAAACCCTAAACCCTAAACCCTATAATTCCTAAACCCTAAACCCTATAATTCTTAAACCCTATAAACCCTAAGACCCTTGAGGATGGACTTCACCTACGACGGACAGCACCTCGTCACCTCGGGCGAGGCCAACGGGTACGTCGTATTTTGGGCGCGGGTTCATAGGGGTTTTATAGGGGTTATAGGGGTTATAGGGGTTTAGGGGTTAGGGGGTTTTGGGGTTTAGGGGTTTGGGGGTTTAGGGGTTAAGGGGTTTAGGGGTTAAGGGGTTAAGGGTTTAGGGGTTAGGGGTTTAGGGGTTAGGTTTTAGGGTTTAGGGGTTAAGGGTTTAGGG